GTTTCGTATTTCTCACGCATGCCATCCCATAGATTCTTAGCCGTTTGATATCCGGAGAACTTTTGAATTTCTTGCGCGTCAATTGCACAAAGTAGAAGGTTAAGAGCTTTTGCATCTTGTTCCACCTTCTTGATATCTTCTTCATTGTATTCCTCCTCGAGTTTCTTTACTTTTTTTTGCCCACCTTCTTCGTTGGGAGAGAAACTCCGTTGTTGATTGCCATCCATAGTGTGTAATCAACGGATTGAATGAAGATTCTCATTCTATCTTTCCAATAAGAGTAATTTACTCCATTAAAGAGTGGTGGCCTTGTTAAAGAGTGTCCTTCGCTAAAAGATCCTGCGCTTAACATTCTCAAAAGAAATATAGATCGTTCTCTCAACTCGTTAAGGCTTTTAGAGAGTTAGGCTCTGATACCAATTGTTAGAATAGGTGCCCTTCACTAGAGGGGGGTTGAATAGTGAGGCACGAGAATGTTTATAAATTTTCGCAGAATAAAAATCGCAGGGATAAAGTAAAGAGCGAAATAAAAAGGAGTAAAGAGAGCACACCAAGATTTATACTGGTTCACCACAAAGTGTGGCTAGTCCAGTCTCCCGAGAGACTCTCTCGAGCTACACTAATTCCGTTAAGCTTACGGGTGCTTAACAAACCGTTACAACCTGAGAACTCGAGTCCCACGAGCCTTAGTACACTTGCTCGGAGATACCGCACTCCAAGACTTCAACCCGAAGGAATATGCCCTTCCTTCGTACAACCAAGGGAACAAACCTCCCTTAAAGTGTTCACAACACTTAACCACTCAAGAACAAAAGCTCTCTTAAAGAGTAGAATATGAGTAAACTAATTTAGATCAAGAACACACTCAATTCCTCAAGAAATGGCTCTAAAAATCTATGTAAAAAGTTTATGGAATGAAGCAATGTAAAGCTATAAAATGTGTGAGGAATGGTTGTGAAAAGTAGACCCAAGAGACCCCTTTTTATACCCAAAAACAAGGTGCAACGGTTGGGAGAAGATTGGGGATGATTGGCTTGATTTGTGGAAATCAAATAAAAGTGGATCTACTGAAATCTAGCCCGACAGTGCTGTTCATATAGTGAACATCGTTGTTTTGCTTTGACTTTCCTTTAAAAATGGCTAACGGTCATCAAAACATCGATGTCTAGAAGTCTACATCGATGTTGGGGTGTTTGACTTTCAAAAATGGAAAGATTTTGTCTTAAATAGCCCAGCGGTCATTTAAATACATCGCTGTTCAACAATGAACATCGCTATTCAAAAACCTACTGCCCAAGACTGACGTGAGCCAATCTGGCCAAAACATAGATGTTCAAATCTCAACATCGCTGTTCAAACATAGATGTTCAAATCCCAACATCGCTGTCCAGACATCTATGTTGGGCCTGGTCGCCAGAACCATGGTTTGACAGCCAACGCCGAAAACCGATGTCAAAAACCAAAGTTCTCCAAAATGAAAAGCAAGTGTTGTAAACTCTTATATAATGTATTTATTGTAGAAACCAAGTATAAAAACTAAACCACTTCATTAAGGTAAAAATCATGGCTAACCAAGTTTATGTCGTTTCACATGGTTTTCACCAAAAGACCAAAAACGAAAGGTGGTTTTTAACATGTTTTTGTTGGAGAACCATTTGGATAGTCCAGAAGTAAAAACCAATCATAAAATATTAAAAACCACTTGATTGATTTGGACGCCAAAAACCAGCGCCGATAACCAGAGCCGAATGCCAATAACCAACGCCAAAAAACAAAGGTTATGGTTTTTGAAAACTAATGATTTGAAAAACCTTTTAATGTGTCCAGAAGCTTAAACCGAGGATAAAAACCCAAAAACCATTTGGTTAAAATCAATGCCAATAACCAATGCCGAAAACCGAACACCATAGCCGAACGCCGATAACCGATGGTTATGGTTTTTGTTAAGCAAGAACCATGGGTTTTAGAAACTTAAAAACCATTTATGAAAACACTCATTTGATGCATGAAAAACATATTTTATTTTGAGCCATGACGTAGAGAAATTGAATGAGCTTGTTACAATAAAAACCTAAGTATTTAGAATACGTCTTCAAAACGTCAATGTCGCCATATTTAGCAGTGTCAATGCCTTTCTTGTGCTTTTTGTTTCTTCAAAGAACTTTTTCTATCTCTTTGAATCTTTTCATTTTGTTCTATGTTCCCGACGGTTTGTCAATATCAAAACCTAAACGGAAACAAACATTGTCATTAGCAAAATGTAAAAGTGAAAATGTTTTCCAACAACAGCCGGCTCTTGAGAAGGACTATCACCTCGGTGGGAGGAAGAGCACTTGCCTTGGCCCTTTGCCTCTCTCTTCCTCTTCCTCCCTGCAGTGAAGCGACTCAGCAGGAGATCGCTGTCCATCTCTTCTCCTAGGTCTTGTAATTCAACTGGAAGCGAGGAAAATGATTAGCCTGTGAAGGAAATAAACTAGAAAATTTTGGGCAAAGAAAAAAGGTAAATTACCAAAAGGACCACAATCAAGACCTTCCTCAGGAATGTCCCTTGGCTGGTTAGGCTGATACCCCCCGGGAACGTCCCTCAGCAGGTCGGGTTTGTGATGAAGCTCGTCTTGGACGAACTCAAACCCCAGCCCGGCGAGGGATTCCTCGGTCACAACCTCTTTGATTTTCATGGCCCCCTTATTGCAGAGTTGACGGGTGATGGACAAAAGGGTGGCATCAGACGGGGGACATGGGATGCGATGGAAGGAGGGGTGCCCTGAACCTGTGAAAGGAGATTCGGGCCCCGTCGAGACAAAAACAAAGAAGGGCTTCCAGTCCTTGGTTGACCCCTTCTTATCACTGGTGAAGTGTTTACTGGACCTCTAGGAAAGGCTGGCATAGGACGCCCAATCCTTATGGCCCTTGGTCAGCTTTAAGGTTAACAAGAAATGGTCTAGGGTAGGCTTCACCCCTACATCCTTGCATCTGACCAGATAACCGGCGATGTACTGGTGAGAGTTGGGGACCAATTGGCAAGAAAGGAGGTCCACCACGTTGAGGAATTCAATCAACAACGGATGGAGAGGGAAGCGCAACCCCTTCTTTAAAGACGCCAGATGAACTGTGAAGAACCCTGAAGGAGAGTCTAGGGCGGTTTGGGTACTGGTAGATCTCAGGACCTCGATGGAGGGTCCAACCATGTCAGTAGCATCGGCGAACCCCCGGTCAGTAATCTGGCAATGGCACAGCGCCATGATGTTTTCGTCCAACTTAACCCTCGAGCCCTCATCTACTGGGGTCGAGGAAGGAAATTGCTTCGTCAATCGGCGCCGCTTTTGGCCGGGCATGGCCGACGACGACGGCTGAGACAATTGAGTGTGGCTTGGGTCACGGCCAGAGACCGATTGATCAGCTTGGCGAGAACTAGACGGTGGGGTGGCCGAATTGGAGTCGGAAACAATCATGGTGGCGAAAAAGGGAACAGACCTGAAGCAGAAGAAAAACGGGTCGGGTAACAGCGGAACCACGAACGAATGATGATGGAGAAGGAAAAAGGAGAAGATGGCGTCCAACGCGGCTTTAACTGATAGTGGGAAGGAGAAGCAGCAGGTCATGATTACCTATCTGTGGAGATCGTGCCCAAACGTCATGCGGAACCCAAGGAACAGCCCGGTTCCGTGCTTGAATGCCCACGTGGACCTCGTAAACTCCCCATCCCTCAACGTGGCCCAGTCGAGGAATGAGGAGTTGGGGGGCTTGTGATGGGCCGATATCCAGTGGGTGGCCTAATTGCACCATTTAAAAGGCTGCGGGTCAGGCGCACCAGAGATACCAAGGCCTAGGCCGGCCCATGAAGCTCAGCCCGGTTAATTCCAGCCCAAGAACAGCTGGCGAAGTCAATTCAGAGAAGAAGACGGAGCCGAATGGCGGGGATGAAGCCGGAAAAAGAGGATCGCGCCATTGACGGGATAGACTCCCTTGTTTATGTATTACCTTAATTGTCTAGAACCCATGTATAAATAGAGGGGACCCGAAAGGGGAAGGGGCAAGCAAAAACGGAGCTAATAATACATACCCAATCCTCGAACTCTTGTTCTTAATTTTGTTTCTTGCGATCCGTTCTTCTGAATCGGATCATTTGGTGGATTTATTGTCCATCAAATTGATTACAAATAGCGGTCTAGTTTCGAATATTAACACCCGAACTTATCGTCATGCATCACATAACATTTTTATTTTTAAAAAAAATTATTTTTATTGTAACGAATCATCCTTAAAATAATGATAATCAATTGGTATAAAAAATAGGATTTTAGGGCTAAAAAATAGAATTTTCAGACAAATTTTCGGATCAGAAATTCGAGGAATCGATCTGACCCTCTGGATCAATCAATGATGTGAAAAAATACTCCCAAAGGTTCGATCCAAGCCTTAGGATCGATCCAGGCAGTGGGTTTCAGCTACTGTTCATTCATCTTCAACCTTTGGTCCATTTTTCGGAAAAACCGTTTTTAGTCACTAAACTTCAACGAAACTATATAGAGATATTCTCCAAGGTTCATAGATCATTTTGGCATCATTAATTCATAGTTTTAACACAAGACTCAACCAAACGACCGTTTATGAACGTAGAAACGATCTATACGAACATTCTAGTCACTAGATATATCTACGGGCTTACCTCGAGCTTAAATGGAGGTTTTGGAAATTTTCCGGCAAAACTTCGAGCGAGGTTTGTGGCTAGCTCCGGCGACTTCACACCAAATTGACAGCACCACAACGTTCTCTACACTTAAGGCTATCTCTCAGAACTTATTTGAAAAAGAATGGTGGTTAAATGAGGAAGAGAGGTCTTCCTTATATATTGGTGAAGAAGAAGAAGAAGCCAATGGAGTTGAGTCTGTGGTGACTCATGATCGGCGAAATCGGAAGGTCGGCAGATTTAGTCTGATTGCTACGACTCTTCCCTGCTTGGGACCAATTTTGGTTCTAATCGGGTATACTTTTTGGTCCAACTTTCTCCGAATTAAATTCCGTTTGTACCATTGCGATCGTACAGTTAAACTCTATCCAACTATATAATTTTTATATTTATTTGTAATACTTTTTCCGATGACATATTTTTGGGTGTTTGACTTTGACAGAGTCAAAATTGGTTTAATTGACCTTTCTCATAAAAGGATCTCTCATTTAATTCATATCAATTATTCTCATGATTTATTTTAAGAAATCATTTCAATATTTACATTCTAAACAAATTCTTTATTTACTCTTTATTTGGCTTTGTACTCAGGTTCACAATCAAGACCACACAAATAGTCCACATATTGGATTTATTTCTACGAGACTTATCCAGATTTTGATATTGGATGTGAAAACACATTTCGTATCGGCTCAAAGCCCAACAATAATTTATTTCAATCAAAACAAATTTGATTAATTGATTATTTATTCATTAATAATTCTAGGATATGTTTTGGGGCGTTACATTCCCCCCCTAAAAGGAATTTCGTCCTCAAAATTCTTCTTAGGTTCAACGTTCAACGTTTGGTAATGATCTCACTGATCATGACTGTTTCATATTCACATGGTTATGTCGCTATCTTTCGGATATGTATTCTCAAGTCATTGATTTCACCAAACTCGTTCAATCTTCGAGAGATTAACAATTTTTGATTAAGCAAGGTCTTCACTGATCCTTTGGTTTTGATGACAAAATGTAACACCCGCCTTCCGTGGACCCGGTTCACCCGCGACCCAACGGACCGGTAGGGTTACATGGATAGTCCGAGAACCATCCGTTACGAAAACATTAATGATTATTTAATAAGAAAACGGTTGGGTTTTAATTAGAGAAATAAATGCCAGGGAGTTACTCCCAAAATGTGTGTAATAAAAGTGCAGAGTAATTGCGGAAGTAGTTAAATAAGTTCAGTCCAAATTAAATAACGACAAGGGTGGGTTCATGCCCAATTGATTAATGAATTTATTGAAAGTAATTAAGAGTTTGTCCGTGCGCCGCCCATCTCCCCATCGTCACCGCTCTCCAGGGTTGGCACCTGCTCCGTCATGTCTACCTGCGTGTAGCAAAAGCAACTACACGCTCAGTAAAAGCTGAGGAGTGAATCTAACAAAAGAACATGAAGTGATAACCCATATGGCTATACCCATATCAATACCTGTACTTAACGTACGGGACACCACACGTTACTAACTGTTTAGTTTTCACCTGTTAAAGCTATTTCGAATAACAAGGAACATAATGATGATGATATGACTTGATGCATGACTTAAACTACCAGGGACACCCCTGGCTTAGTCTCACTCGACAGGATCACCCCTGCACTCCGGTCATCGTCCCCGAACGGTAACGAGCCGGGCACGACAAAAATATCGCGAGTGGACTAGTAAAACCGGGTAGTAGCCGTAACCCGACTACTATGTACGTACACAAGCCCAACATGATGAAAACCCATTGGTCCCCAAAGGTTCCTGGACAGGCCCACTGTAGTAGGCGCACAAAGTCCTCCCTACAGCGGTATGCACATGATGAAAACCTAGAACATTCGTCTAGAACAAACATGATGGAATGAATGCATTGATTAAAGAAGGGAGTTAAGTTCAACGCATACATATGCGTTTGATTACAATTTGTTCAGCATGACGGCCTTGGGTTCAGAACTGGCTGATAATCGATTGTCCACTGTTGATAATCGATTATCATGCTGTGCAGCTTCTGTCCCCAAAGTCCCGCAGACTGTGATAGTCGATTGTCACCCTAGGACAATCGATTGTCAAGTTCGTTGTTCAGAAAGTCCTCAGTTCAGAGAGCCCTGATAATCGATTATTGCCTATGTGATAATCGATTATCGGTGAAGCTAACTCAGACCCAAGAATCCGCAGGGCCTGATAGTCGATTATCACACATGTGATAATCGATTATCACGCTGTGCTGAATCATCGGAGGAGTCCAGCGTGGCCCGATAGTCGACTGTTTTATTCCGTAACTCGATTATCAAGGCACACTGACTTCCATTATATCTGTTTGTTTGTCATCAAAACGTTGGAAGTTTTAAAGAAACGAATGTTTAAATTTCCATGCTAGAAAATCGATGAACTTACAAGGTTTCAAAACATTCATGTTAACGAGCACATAACTTGGTAACATGGGCTCACATATGTTGGATGGCTAACCTACGAACATGCATAGATTCAACGTAGGTTGCGTACGATATTCCTATGAATATAACTACATAGATTATAACTAAATGTTCTAGAATTAGAGGGACAACTACTCACCTCTAAATGAAGGGGTTGATGGAACGAGATGAACGAATGGTGCTAACGAACGGACGAACGACGAAAACGCTTCGCACGAACGGCCTAGCTCCTCCTTCCTTCCTTCTCCCTCAACTGTGCACCCACCGGAGCTTCGTCGGAACCCTCCCTGGCTGCTGTTGCCTTGGCCGAAAGTAGAGAGTATGTGGTTTTCCTGACGTATTTCCTGACGAACTTCCTGGTATACCATCTTCCAGAGAAGTAGAATTTTCCATCGATCTTGTTCCTGGAACAGGACTGATATCTGCAACTCCCTATCGCATGGCTCCCGCTGAAATGAAAGAGTTGAACGCTCAACTACAAGAATTACTCGATAAAGGATTCATACGTCCGAGTGTTTCCCCTTGGGGAGCACCCGTCCTGTTTGTTAAAAAGAAAGACGGCTCGATGAGACTCTGCATCGATTACCGTCAATTGAACAAAGTCACAATCAAAAATCGATATCCTTTACGTCGTATCGATGACTTATTTGATCATCTTAGAGGATCTACTGCATTCTCTAAGATTGACTTACGGTCAGGATACCATAAAATCCCTGTAAAGAAAGAGGACATCCCAAAGACTGCGTTCCGTACTCGTTATGGTCATTATGAGTTTACGGTAATGCCCTTTGGTTTGACCAATGCTCCAGCAGTATTCATGGATCTCATGAATAGTGTATTCCGACCTTATCTTGATCAATTTGTGGTTGTATTCATCGATGATATTCTTGTCTATTCAAAGAATCGAGAAGACCATGCGAAACATTTGGAGATAGTACTCAGCATACTACGGGAACATAAACTATATGCCAAACTGTCAAAGTGTGAATTTTGGCTTAATGAAGTTACGTTTTTGGGACATGTGATTTCTCAAGAAGGTGTTAAGGTAGACCCCAGTAAAATATCTGCCATCACCGAGTGGAAGGTTCCAAGGAATGTTCGTGAAGTGAGAAGCTTTCTTGGATTAGCTGGATACTATCGACGATTCGTTGAAGGCTTTTCCTCGATCGCAACTCCACTTAACAAACTTCTGAGAAAAGATGTGAAATTTGTATGGACCGATGCATGTCAGCAAAGCTTTGAGAAACTAAAGAAATGTCTGACAGAAGCACCTGTGCTGACCCAACCAGTACCAGGTGTAGACTACACAATCTTTAGTGACGCATCTCATAATGGCTTGGGATGTGTACTCATGCAAGACGGAAAAGTCGTGGCATACGCATCAAGACAGTTGAAACCTCACGAATGTAACTATCCTACTCACGATCTTGAGTTAGCAGCAGTTGTATTTGCTTTGAAAATATGGCGTCATTATCTCTTTGGAGAGACGACATATATTCACACAGACCACAAAAGTCTAAAATACCTGCTAACTCAAAAAGA